AGGATTGCTTGAGCCCAGGAGTCTGAGGTTGCTGTGAGCTAGGCTGATGCCACGGGCACTCACTCTAGCCAGGGCAACAAAGCGAGACTCTGTCTCAAAAAAAAAGAATTAAAATAGCCTACATCAGTACTTTTATAGTGGTGGACTATGATAGACAAAAAGCTCTGAAATTGGTGGTGGCTATGCCTGGGGGAGTGGGGGGGTAAGCCAAACTACAGTAGAAGATGGTGAAGCTTACATACAGTGTGTGTGTGTGTGTGTGTGTGTGTGTGTGTGTGTGTGTGTAGTAAACCAGACTAAAGTAGGAGAGGGTGAAGCTTACATATAGAAATAAGAACAATTTCTGGAGCTGTTAAAACCCCTACTTACAGTTGTCCCTGCTGTCCAGCTATAGGTTTGCCTTTTGTATTTATTGGTTGTTCAAACCTCATGAGATACCCTGGTATCCTAATAAATTGCTTATTACTGCCTAAGCCAATTTGAGTTGGATTTCTGCCACTTGCTACCAAATGAGTCCTTATATTTTTGGGAAAAATGTATACTTGTTTCTTAAGAAAAGAACTTTAGGAACAATAATTCATTGTAGACAACCTGCATCATTAAAATTTTTGAAAACATGGGAAATAGAAATGATATTGCCAACTATTCCTCTCTAGTTTCTGAACTGGAAATTAGCATGAGATATGCTGTCCAATGCATATCTTAAACCAAAACCTCATCTTTTACCAAGTACTACTACCCAGTACCTGCTCTGTGGGAAAGAGTATTTAGTTTACCTGAATTATTTAAACAACTCTTTAAGTTGTAGATACTATCTATCATTAACATCTTTTTACAGATGAAGAAACCAGCCCTTTTTAGAGATAAGGAAAATTGACTGAAAATAATTCAGCTTTTAAGTTTAGACTCAGAATTCAAAAGATCTGACTTTAGTCCCATACCTAACCCAAACTTGTAGGATCAGGAAAGACCTTGAAAAAGTGATCTGTAGATTTAGACCTGATGATGAGAAGTATGATACGAAGGAATTTCAACTATTAGACTCTACTAAAGGGCAAGGTGCTAGTACTTGAACCTCTTGAGATACATTGAAACAAAAATAGTATAGTGGTTAAGATTGCCTGGCATGGCCTGACATGATGGTTCACGCCTATAATCCTAGCACTCTGGGAGGCCGAGGTGGGAGGATTGCTTGAGGCCAGGATTCCAGACCAGCCTGAGCAAGAGTGAGACCCTGTCTTTACAAAAAATAGAAAAATCAGCTGGGTTTGGTAGCCTGTGCCTATAGTCCCAAATACTCAACAGGCTGAAGCAGGAGGATCACTTGAGACCAGGAGTTTGAGGTTGCAGTGAGCTATGGTGACACCATTGCACTCTAGCCTGGGTGACAGAGCGATACCTTGTCTCTAAAAAAAACAAACATGAAAAAGCTTACTGAAAACATGATTAGCAACATTTCCTCTCCACTCTGCTTTTTTTGTAACTCACTGCCTGAATTTTAAGGTCAGCTCCACTTCTTATTTATATTTTCTGTGTCTGAGTTTCCTCTTCCATAAATATGGGAGTAATAGTAGCACTTAATTCATAAGGTTGTGATGACTTAACGTACTTAATTTCTTTTTTTTAAATAGAACACTTTGCACTGAATGTACTTAATTTTATGTTAAATATTTGCAACTATGTTTGGCATATAGTAAGCACGAATAAGTGTTAAATATTACAGCTATAACCTCACAAATAACACATCTAAGTTAAAGTAATAATTGTTCATATTACCTTCCATTTCCAGCTTTTTAAACCGTCACTTGAATAGCTCTTTAGAGGTTATAAACCATAGCTACCAAGCAAGCTCTCACCATGGCCAGGCAGCATATTACTTATTTTACCTCTTTTATCTCACCTAATGCTTTCGGTAACCCTGTAAGTAGTATTCCACTTGTATAGTTAAAACATATTCAGTAACATTTTTATCAGTTCGAACTCACAAAATTAGCAAATGGCACAGTCAGAATTGAAGTCTAGTTTTGTGTGATGCAAAATTCCTGCTCTTTGCCTTGCACCACACTACCTTTTCATTGCTTGTTAAATGATACCCCAAAATATGGTGCTTTGACATGCTGAACTAAAGAAGCCACCTCGGGGTTTCTGTAACCTTTCCTTGCCTCCAGTCTCTCAATCCTTTGCCTTTCCCAGAACACAGGATGAGGCTGTTCTCTGTTCCAAAGAAGTACACAATTGCCTTCAATCTTCTCCCTGAAATCTCATTATCCAGAGAAAATTAAAAATATTACATAACCAGGTATGGAGGCACTTGCCTGTAGTCCCAGCTACTCAGGGGGCTGAAGTGGGAGGATCTCTTGAGGCCAGGAGTCTGAGGCTGTAGTGTTATATGATCATGCCTGTGAGTGACCACTGCGCTCCAGCCTCAGCCAGTGAGACTCTGTCTTAAAACAAAACCCTCGTATCACAGAGGAAGAGACTGAAAATTATTAAATTGTTTGTTCTCTAGTTCTATTCCATTTACAAAGAGAATCATTTACAAATGAATTTATTTTTTCCTCCATAGAGACAGGGGTCTTGCTATGTTGCCCACACTGGTCTTGAATTCCTGGCCTCAAGCGATCCTCCCACCTTGGCCTCCCAAAGTGCTGGGATTACAAGCGTGAGCCACCACGCCCAGCCTTACAAGTGAATTTCTGTCTCCTGGATCCATTCATTGCTCCTAAAATTATTTACTACCCCTGTAAAATTGTGTACTGTCCCCCACTCCCCTCTTCCTTATAAAGAGGGTATTTAAGTTTCAGCCATGTGGACCTCCCTCGAGTTTTTGTAATTTTTTTGTATGGCTCCCATGCTTATGCATGTTAATAAATTTATTGTGCTTTTCTCTTGCTAACCTGTTTTTTATTATAAGGGTGTCGACATGACCTTATGATGGGGAGGAAAGGGATCACTCCCTTTCTGCCCCTTCATACTACACTGCCTTTAAATTCCCTAATCCACTTGTAGGGGGTTACTGAAGCTTGCATTCATTTCTTCAACAAATATTTATTCAGACTGGTACAATCTAGGTCCTGGGTAAACAGTGGTTAGCAAGACAGGTACAATCTGACCTCATGGCATTAACAGGTGACTGGATTACTATCTTCATCTTGAACTTCTGCAGTGTGATAATATGGGAGCTGGATCTGCTCCTAGATAGGTATGTGACCTCTCTGAGTTTCACTTTCCTCATTTAGAAATACAAGCATCTGGCCCAGCAAGGTGGTTCACGCCTGTAATCCTAGCACTCTAGGAGGCCAAGGCGGGAGGATCGTTTGAGGTCAGGAGCTCGAGACCAGCCTGAGCAAGAGCGAGATCTTGTTTCTACTAAAAATAGAAAAAAATTAGCTGGGCAACTAAAAACAGAAAAAAAAAAAATTAGCCAGGTATGGTGGTGAGCGCCTGTAGTCCCAGCTACTTGGGAGGCTGAGGCAGAAGGATCGCTTGAGCCCAGGAGTTTGAGGTTGCTGTGAGCTAGGCTGACACCATGGCACTCTAGCCCAGGCAACAGAGTGAGATTCTGTCTCAAAAAAAAAAAAAAAATACAAGCATCTCATATGGAAATAGAACTCATCAGAAATCAAGTGGGAGAGGGGAACTCTCTCTAAGGTAGTTGCCTGGTTACTTTTACACTTAAAAGTAGTAAATAAAATAAATAAAAATGTGTGATAAATGATAGATCAGGGACTTCAACCCAGACCACAAAATCACCACCAAACTGCCCTGCTTTTGTCATGGGAAACACATTTTGATTCTGTCTCCATTCCTCAAGACCTGAAGCCTGAGGAGTCACCCATCTACAAATATTAAGCACTTTTCTTTCCTTCTTTTTTAAAAGAGACAGGGTTCCAGCAATCCTCCTTCCTTGGCCTCCTAAGTAGCTGGGACTATGGGTGGGAGCCACCATGTCCTTCTAATTTTTTTTTTTTCTAGAAAAGAGTGGGTGTCTTGTGTTGCCCAGGCTGATTCTCCAACTTCTGGCCTCAAATGATCCTCCCTCCTCAGCCTCCCTAGTTGCTGGGATTACAGATGTGAGCCACTGTGCCCGGCTAAATATTTTTCAAATATGAAATATACAGTACAAAGTGCTGTGAAGAAATTTTTTTTAAATGGTCTCTGTTGTCAAGGAACTTCTGAGCCATTTAGAGACATTTTAAAAAAACACAAACACATGCTGAGAGAAGTAAAAAGTGACCAAAGAATGGTACACAGAAATTATCTCATTTGATCCCCATAATCTCCCTTTGAGGAGGCACTATTATTTCTATTTTATAGAGAAGTAAAGGTAGGTCTGTAGACAATAAGCAACTCTCAAGGTTACACAGCCAACAAAGGGCAGATCAGATATTCAAACCCAAGTTCTGATTCCTGTGTTCTCTAACACTAACTACATATTGTAGGGCAAACCCAGAAACTCCTAGGCAAGCAATCGGCCTCGTTAGGGCCAGAAAGCTGGATAAATATTGAGAAAAAGGGAAGATGAGGCCCAAAACGTAGGCTGAGGCTTAATATAATACATGAATAACTCAACGGACTTCATTCTGCAGATCCTGAGAATCCACTAAAGTAAGCCAGAAATTACTGCAGTCTTGATAGAGTAGTTTCTCTTAACTTGGTAGAGAAATTACAACCTGTAGGAAATGCGGTTTTACTACGTGGCTGCGTAGTAAAACCTTGGAAAAATTACTTTCTGGTCTCAACTCAGCTAACGACGGAGAGGGTAATTCATCGGACTATCGTGGCGATTCAACGAGTGTATGAAAGGTGTCTGACACTAGAGGGCGCACGATAAACGTTGATTTTCCCCTTGCGTAGACAGAAAGAATACGACCCTATTTTTTTTTTTCTTCTTCTCTACGTAGAGCGAGCAGGCACACGTGAGCCAATAAGACCAGAATGAAAGACCCGGCCAGCTTCAGTTGCAACCACACCCAGGTATGCACAAACCTTCTGAGAGTCCATCAACGTTTCCAGGGTGATCCTCCCACTTCCCTCACTTCTCCGGACCTGCCAATGGACCACGAAAACCTGACTGCCATCTAGTAAAGTCCCTAGCCAGGCCTCCACATAGACCGCCCAACCTTCCCGGCCCTTCCTTCAGAGGCGGCTAATCCGTGACATCACAGCCACGTCCATTTCCGAAGGAGATCTTCCGAAGGAGCTCTTCGGGGCCGCTCTAGGCTGCCATCTCGCCGGCTGGCTCCAAAGCTCAGTGGTTGCTGGGCGGGGCCGTGACGTCCTTGGCGTGGCTGCAGGGGAGGCCGCGGCGGGGAAAATGGCGGACGGGAAGGCGGGAGACGAGAAGCCAGAAAAGTCGCAGCGAGCTGGAGCCGCCGGAGGTGAACACAACCCCAGCGTCGCGGGCTGCGTGGGATACTCCGGGCCTTTCTTTGAGCTCCCCAGGGTGGGGGGAGTGGGGTCGAACGAGAATGGGCAGATCTGGCGCTCACCCGGCCAGGTGCTGGGCCCAGACGAGCCCCGGGCACGCCCGGTGCGGCCCGCTGGGATCCGGGCCCACATCGCCTCCTTGCCGGAGGAGAGCCGGCCACTGTTCGTCACCTCCTGGCCCCAGCGGAGGCCCTGCTTCCGAGGAGAAGGGAGATGGGTGCCAGAAAGGGAGACCGAACTTGGGGTGGGACCAGGAACGGCGGTGCAGGAGCTGCTACCGCCACACCGGAGACGCACATCACACAAAACACACACCGGAGACGCTCATCACACAAAACATACACACACACCCCAACAGCCCAGTGGGAACCACCGAGCAGTGGCCGCGGGAACTGATCGCAGGCCGAGTTTCCGACGGTGTCGGCCTCTCAGTTACAGGCAGGAGTTAATTACGCTTGGTGTGGACAACCCCTGCCTCTTCTCTGTCCTTCATTTTCAAACTTAATACTGACCCTGTAACAGAATGGGCCGAGGTGATAGAGGGAAAGAGGAATGTCTTTACCTGCCTGCTGATTTAAGCTGCGGTCTAGGGTTAGGGTTTGATTGCCTTTATTTGAAGTATCTACCTTTTCTTAGCTATTGCCGGCTGACCGCATGCCAGATGCTTAGGTGGATAAATAGGCTAGTGTAATGCTTCCTGTATTTTGTTACGATGTTGAACTCAGGTTACAGCTATCCTTATTCTGTCCCTTCTACCCCTGTAAATTTGGGTCTTGTACTTGGAAAAGAAACATCATGTAATCTCCCCAGCCTCCCCCCTTGTCATAGCAAGGCAAATAACTTAACATGTTAACATGTGTGAGCTGATCGTAATGTCTTTAGAGCGTTTTCCTCTATTCTGACAGCCTTAAGTCTTATCCCTGAAAGTATTTAATATGAAAAAATACAGAAGATTAATAGCATAGGAAGGCAAACTAGTAGGGCCTACTAACATAGTGTTTAATGTGCATTGCCTTGGAACACAAAATTATGGAAAAGATTTATGTGTAATGTACAATTACTTTGGACCCAGAATTTCCTTTTTAAAAACTATGCACAGTGCTGTCATTTGAGCTGAAACTCCCTCCTCCTTCCTTTTTTGTCCTTTTCTTTCCTTTTTCTTTTTTTTGTTTTTTTTTTAACAAGTAACATAGCTTATGAAACAACTTAAACCATCTAGTACTTTTACATTGGGGGTATTTTTCCCCAAAAAATTATTGTCTTGGAAATTATTGAATAAAATTATATAAAAATTTAGAAGTAGTTTGAGGAAAAGCAAAGATCTATAGCCTAAATAATCTTATGGGACTTTGACTTTAAGGCTATCTTGTTAACTGTCTTGACTGAGGGCAGAAAAGATGTGTTTAATGTGCTGCCAAAGTGTGCCTTAAGTGTCCATTGTATAATTTATTTGCCACCGTTTTGGTTGAGGGATATTAGCTCTGTAGTATGAATATTGATGTTTCCATTTTAGCATGTTGGGGGATAGTGTAAAATTACTAATTAGCATCAGAAAGGTTGTTATGGTCTTTTTTGTTGGTAACTTAGAATAAGTAATATCCCTTAACTTCTACATAATTTGCCACATTTCCTTTACAGGAAAGTAGTGCTGTTGCATATAAACCATTTTTGAATGTTATATTTTTAATGAAATTGTGCAGAGGAGTCATAGTTAAAACATTTCATACTGTGGATATTGCTAAATTGATAATTTTGTGGCAAGCAGTCACTTTTTTGAAAACACTGTCAAGTTTGTCTTAGGGGCTTACCTAGAGAATATTCTGAATTTTAATTCCTATTGAATAGTCTACTAAGTTGGAAGTGTAAGTATTTTTTTATGAGTAACTTCCATAGTTAACATTAATTTATGTCTGTAAGAGAAGCTGCTTATTTGAACTACCTGCTTTCACTTTAAGGAATAGGGGAAGGCTTTGGGTAGATTTTTTTTTTTCTCCTCTCTTTGGTTAATTTTTTGTAGTTCTTTCAAGTAAGTAGAAATTTTAGAGAAGAGCTATTCATACATAATTATGGCCGTCTCAAACTTTTTAAGTTATGCTAAGGACTGTTTCAATGAAATTGACATTTGTTAAGTGAGACACTAATAGGATCTTGAATACATTCTCATTTAAGCTGTATACCAGTCCCATTAGAGAGGTAGCTATGTGCCCTTCAGATAAGGAAGCTACCAGAATGCAAATGGGTCATGAAGGGGGTACCTTTATAGGCTTAAACTTTCTTACTAGGTAGTTTTTTTCAAAGTAAGGTGACCCCAAGGCCCACCCATCCTCTCCAACTATTCAATGAAAAAGAAAAAAGTGCTAGTGCCATGTGTAATTTGATTTCACATTAATTAATCAACACATTTTGTTTGCTCAGAATGAATACAAATTAGATAAAATTTCTTCTATTAAAATATTCCTTAATAATAAAACTTGTATTTTGCTATAATTTTATCCATGTTTTATGTTATAAATTGATATATGATTTTCTTAATTTTAAAAACTGACCTTGTATTTATTCATTCTTTAAACTATAATTCACATTACTACAAGTTTTCACGGTACTAATCTGTGGTCATCTAAAATTTTGTTTTCCACAATCCCGAAGTACAAAATGTGTCTTTTTAAATGAATTGAAAATAGAGGTCTTTAATTAAAAGCCCCAAATACTGAAGTAGTACATGTGTTTGTTTAAAGGAAAACACTTAATGTGCTTAGGAATTAATGTTGATATTTAATGGCATATTTCAAAACTCACGTTAGGTTGAAATAATTTTCTAATGAACTATATGTGAAATTGTAAAAATTGTAATGACAATCACATTTGATGATAATAGATTTGGCTGTCATATTTTCCCATCTTAGTTCATTGTTTATTCCATTTGCTTTATTTCCTAAGTACTTTTTGTATTTTGCTACATGCTTGTTAAGAGGATTATATAAAGAGAAAATAACATCTATTTCATGTGATACATTGAGCTTTTTAAAGCTAAGAAATGAAGGCTAATAGTGTACTCACCTTCCTTCACTCCCCATTTGCTCCCACCTCGTCATTGAAGAGTAGATCTGTTTTTTTTTTTTAATATTTTAGCTTCCCATAACAATATTTCTAAAAGAGCAGATCAGATCTAAAGATACTGATAGAGTTTTTCCCGTTGTTTTAAAAACAAAAACAAAAAAACTTCTTGAGAGTGGGCAAAGCCAAACAGTTATTTACTATTAACATATCCAGAAATAATTTGCTGCATCTGGAATCATTAATGTGTAGATATGACCTAACGGACATAGTATGTTTCATCTTCAGTGTGGATCTGTGGTATGGGTGGTGTCATTTGCCGCCTCAGATAACAACATAGTTATGAATAAAATTAAGTTGCTGCCAGTTGATTACTTAATGAATGGTAGAGTAGTTCTCCCAACTCCCTTTATCATACTATCTTTTTCTGGAGAAGTCTCCATGGAAATCTTCCCTATGGCATACTAGGATTAGGCTGGATTATTGTATTCCATTTATTAGCACATATGAGTTCAGCTAGTTGTCAAATTTAATATTGTTATAATAAGAATATTTTTACTTGGGGCCGGGTGCGGTGGCTCACGCCTGTAATCCTAGCTCTCTGGGAGGCTGAGGCGGGCGGATCGTTTGAGCTCAGGAGTTCGAGACCAGCCTGAGCAAGAGCGAGACCCCGTCTCTACCAAAAATAGAAAGAAATTAATCGGACAACTAAAAATATATAGAAAAAATTAGCCGGGCATGGTGGCACAGCTACTCGGGAGGCTGAGGCAGGAGGATCGCTTGAGCCCAGGAGTTTGAGGTTGCTGTGAGCTAAGCTGACGCCACGGCACTCTAGCCCGGGCAACACAGTGAGACTCTGTCTCAAAAAAAAAAAAAAAAAAAAGAATATTTTTACTTATTTACACTGTAATTTTTTTAGATTCTCTGTTCCAGAATTATTTTCTTGATAGACCTAGAAGTAAGAAAAGATAGGCTTTAAAAGAACTGGAAATCTTGACTAATTAATTATATAGCCCTTGGGTCACAGTTCGAAGAGCAGAGTTAACAACATAGTCACGTCTAAATGTTCTTTATGCTATTTGTTTTGATATTTGTCAGTTTGCACAAAATTTGTGCCTTTAGTGTATAGATTTTTCTGTATGTAAAGTTAGTGGGGTTTCTATGTTTCTCTGTGTTCCAATGTGTAGAGCCAATGAGTCTTCGATTTTAGCTGTGTATCAGTCCCAGAAAAGTAGTTATTGTTTGGGTTTTACTGTAAAATATCATACTTGCTTAAAATAATAAAAAGAATACAGAATAGAATTAGCATAAATACTTTTAGTTATAAACTTAGACTTTGAAAAAACTATTTGCATCATGCTATTTTTTTATGAAATTCTGTATTTCTTAAATTGAGTTCTGTTTTTCAACTGTTGCATTGAATAGCAGTCTTCATTCTTTAATTCTTCAGGTGCTTTTTAAATGTTATATGTAAATAAGTGAATGGCACCTCAAGCAACCATTCCAGTGCTATCTTTGCCTCTTGGGGAAGTCCAAAATGTAATCTTGCTCAATTCCCTCCCCTATATTGTCATTGTAACTTTTACCCTTTGTCCAAAGGGAATAAAGAGTTCCTTTTATTTTTCATCTAAACAAAATCGAATGTTATGTTTAAAATGCGTATTAGAGACCCCACCATTCCAAAAATATATAGATCTAGATGCTCTGGTCTTTTAGTCTTTTACTTGTCAGTCTATTTGTGTTTGATTTTTGTTTTTTCTCCTCATTCTAGCTTTTTGTCCTGCTTTCTTAACTATTGTCAGGACCATCCCTTGGAGCATCTCTTTCACCATAAATAAACTCTTCGTCTAGTGTAACAGAATACATTTTATAAGGTGACTTGCCAAACTGGGGAAAGAAAATAAAATTTTTAATGATCAGCTAGCTTTCTTCTGTCTTAACTCCCCAATATGTTCCTAACTAGCCTTCTTATATAACAGACCTAAGATACTCAGGATATGAACTAATTTTACCAGCTTAATACAAACACGAACAAAATTACTGAAAGACAGCTTGCCTTTCACTCCTATATCTGTGTACCTTCTACTCATTGAAATTATAATCTTTCTTTCATGAGAAAAACTAATATATAAACCAAAGAATGATTTTTAATAGCTTTTACAGGTAGCTTAAAACAGGTGATACCCAAGTTTTCAGAATAGAAGTACATTACTCAATAGGGGATGACCTTGAAGTCCTCCTTCAAGTTCTTTTTCAACTCCTAAGATTGTGTGAGCTGTACATGAGGAACACATCACTCAAGAAAATAACTCTAGGCTGTATTAACACTGTTGTTTGGGTAATGATAGGTCTATTCATAACTAGGTACTCTGTATGATTGGTATTACATTACTGAAGAATATTAGAATTTATTAGCCAAATGTATTCTTACCATGTAACTAATTGCTCACAAACTAGTTTGTGTAAAAGAATTTATAGATCTTAATTTCTAAAATGCAAAATCCCACAAATAACCATATTATTGTATAACTTATAGTGTTTAGTTGAAGGGTCTTTACTTTTTGCGAACTCTGTGTTTATAATTTTAAATTGCTCTGTATTTTATGCTAGTTAATTCATGGGAGCCTCTTCTACTGCCACACAATCTCAGTTCCTGCTGTATACTCTAACAAACAGTGGAAGAGACTGTTGGGTCAGTAGGTGACAACTGCAGAGGTATCTTCCATATAACGATGCTTTTTGAGGTTGCTGCTCCCATCAATCTGCTAAGTAAAAATAGCTCATCTTGGTAAGTTGTTTCGACTTCACCAGGACCTGAAGAAGAAGCAGAAAAACCTGTGAAAACTAAGACTGTTTCTTCCAGTAATGGAGGGGAAAGTTCCAGTCGCAGCGCTGAGAAGAGATCAGCTGAAGAAGAAGCTGCAGACCTCCCAACAAAGCCTACAAAGATCTCCAAGTTTGGATTTGCCATAGGTAGTCAGACAACAAAGAAAGCATCAGCCATATCCATCAAACTTGGATCAAGTGTGAGTTGTTTTTTATATGATTGTTGTTGTTTTATATATGATGTTTATAATGAGTCTTAAGGATTTGTTTTGGAAACCTGCTTCTACTAGATTATGGTAAATTAAGTATAAAAAGGTTCATTGCTTGAGAAATAATCTTTAATGTATGAACTTACATGTAAGTATTTAAGAAGTGATTACCTAGCACCCTGTTGAAGAAAGGTCTGGATAAATTATATCTCAGTAAAGCTGTTTAAAAAAGAAAGAAAGGTTTGGAATATTAGAAGGAACTATTATAGGGAATTTATGATTTATAAAGTAACAACTTAGCCAGGTGCGATGGTGTACACCTGTAGTCCTCATGTACTTGGGAGACTGAGGCAGGAGGATCACTTGAGCCCAGGAGTTCCAAACTATAGTGAGCTATATGATTGTGCCACTGCACTGCAGAGTGAGACAAGACCCCCATCTCCAAAAAAAAAAAGGTAAAAAGTAATAACTTAGAATTTTTCTAAGTTAAGCAAATCCTCTGAAAAATATTTTCAGAAAGAATTTCATTTTATTTTTTATCTTTCACTGCCAGCATACTAAAAGTGATACTTAGAAATCAGTTATTTTGTATCTTAAAAGATTAATATTTATAAGGTTATTGCTTGATAAGAGTTTCCTAATTCTCTTACTTTGGAACTATACATGGATGTTGAGTACTATATATCTTACAATGGTAATCCTTTAGAAAACAACATTTTATCCTTTGTTTTAAGTGTAAGTCTTGAATTGATACTTATTAACCTTGGGACGTTTGGAAGTATTCGAAATATTAGATTGAAGCATATGAAGTTATGTATATTTATTTCTGACCTATAATATGACAAATTCATAAGCTTCAACCAAATAGATCTCTTATTTAAGGAAAAAAAGTTACTTAAATAGTGTATTGCTCTTGGCTTTAGAAAATGGTTACATTCTTATGTGAGGACAAAAATTCTGGAATTGCTTTTGAGTTGTTCGTTCACGTTTGTGCTGTGAAAGTTAATGTTCATTTGCCAGATGTGTACAATTTTATTTCCTGCTTTAGATGTTCATTCAGAGATCTTAAAAATAGGCCGGGCGCGGTGGCTCACACCTGTAATCCTAGCTCTCTGGGAGGTCAAGGCTTGTTTGAGCTCAGGAGTGCGAAACCAGCCTGAGCAAGAGCGAGACCCCGTCTCTACTAAAAATAGAAAGAAATTAATTGGACAACTAAAAATATACAGAAAAAATTAGCCGGGCATGGTGGCCCATGCCTGTAGTCCCAGCTACTCGGGAGGCTGAGGCAGGAGGATGGCTTGAGCCCAGGAGTTTGAGGTTGCTGTGAGCTAGGATGATGCCACGGCACTCTAGCCCAGGCAACACAGTGAGACTCTGTCTCAGAAAAAAAAAAAAAAAGATCTTAAAAATATGGTCTGGAGTAGTTTCCTAAAGAGTCAGTGTGTTTGAGCTATTTTTCTAATTTAAAAGCACTACTGTTAGAATCCCTGCCCTCACTCTGTGCTCTGTTTTGCCTTTTTCCATTTCTTCCATTTTTTAAAAAAAATTCAGTCTGAACAAAAGACATTAACTTATAACATTATTCATTACTATTTTTCTCTATTTCAGCTGATTCTTTTAAATACATTTTTTTAAACTTGCATAGACCTAACTACATAATGTTTTTTGATAGACAGTATATTAAACATGTATTCTTATATACACTTCTAATACAGATGGTCCCCTTGATAAAATAGATTTTACTGTGTTTGAACATACTCCCTGAATCAAAATCCCTACTCTTTCTAAATCATTGGCATGATGTAGTAATTACTAATCATTTTAGGTGGGAGAGTTATATTTGAAAAAACCAATTCAGTAAAACTTTTTAATTTTAGAAAACGAAAATCTGTTTTTTTTAAAATAAACTACAATATAAACACAGTTTTGTTGGGGGGATGAGGTGTATGATATAAAAAAATAATTGAACTGCTTTTGATTATATGATATGAAAAGATAGGTCATCAATCAACAAATACTTATGTCTACAACATCAAATACATGACGTCTTTAAAAAAGTAAAGGGCGTTTCTAGAGTCAATATGCATGCTCTCTACATTAACATTTTTTATTCCTCCAAAGCAAACACTATTTATAAAAAATGTGTGTGTATGGAAGAAGGGATGGTTAATTTTGTTTCAGCAGGTCAGAGAAGATTTTACTGACGATGCAGTAGTTGAGTTGGACTTTTGAATGCAGGCAGGAGCAAAAGGGCATTTTCATGCAAAGGCAGTTTAGATGTAGAGTCATATGGTACATTCAGAAAATTGTTGGTAGTTGGAACTTGTTTGGTGGGCAAATGTAGGGATAGAAAGCCCCCAAAATGAGGACATAGGGCCAAATCATAAAGGATCTGTACTCTGTAATGTAATTGGTTTTATTATTTAGATTCTAGGAAGCCATGGAACCAGTACAAGGAGTCTTGAGACTTAAAACTGATTTGCATCTTAGAAACATCACTGTGGTGCCAGTATGGGGGTTTGGTGGAAAAAGAACACAAAAAGTGGGGCGATGGTATTTCTAATAGAAGTCCAGGCAAGTGGTGCTAAAGGTTGCTGATGTGATAGTAATGAGGGAAAGGCAGAGGGAGAGTTAAGTCTGCTAAATAGATATCTAATCAATAGGATGTTGTAAGTTGAGGAAAGGGTTTTCTGGCTTGGGCATCTGTGAACACTATAAAACTAAAGTACTTAAGTGGCGCTGTCCAGCAGGCCGATGACAGCCTATTTGAGGTTTAGATACAGGATTCAGTGGTTAAAACTATTTAAAACTATAGGAATGAATGAAATTGACCAGAGAAGTACAAAGAAATAAAGATTACTAACAACAAAATCCTTAGTATTAGTATCTTAAGTGGGGAGCAACATGGAGAGGAGAGAGATGGAACAAAAGGTCAGAGGATTAGATGAATAACCAATAAAAAGCACTGTCACAAAAGCCATGATATGGATGTTTTCAAAAAGGAGCTGATGATTAGAGTCAAGTGTAGCACACTGGTCATTGGTGACCCTACAGAGAATAATTTCGGGAAAATGGTGAGGGAGGGAGCCAGATTGCAGTGATTGATGACTGAAAGGGTGATGAAAAGATAGATACACTGAGGACAATTTAATTCTTCAGAAGTCTTGGGTTAGAAGAGATGATGTGGATGAAGTATGTTTACAGGCCTAAGGGTAGAAAGCTAGCTAGTACAGAAAGATGAGTCATGGTGTCTTTTATGTTCTCAAGGCACGTTGTATTTAATGTTACTGTGGGAAAGTATGACTAATTATTTTCTCTTACCTGTACTAAATACCCCTTAGCTAAGTGATGTTATAGATCCTAACTAGAAAATCCTTTACAGGAGGGAAACAAATGGACACAACAAATTGTAAAGTAAAATCTACTCACTGATAACCCACATTTTCAAAAAGAGAATAGATTTATCCAAAGTCCTGAGTTCCTTACTTATGTAAGTTTCTATGAAGACATAAAGTTGACACATTCTACAAACCAGGAGTTAAAAAAGAAGAAGACATAAAGATGATTCTTTCAAGATAAATTATTCACATCATTAAACAAGCCTATATAAATGTTACTTATGTGATACTCTTTTGTTTTTAATCTGCTCCCCAGAAAAGTATGTGATAATCTTTTTAATATGTTTCTTTCTCAGAAGCCTAAAGAAACTGTTCCAACTCTTGCTCCAAAAACTCTTTCAGTAGCAGCGGCTTTTAATGAAGATGAAGATGTAAGTTGATTGTCTTTTTACTTTAACCAGTTTTTTAAGGAAGGTGTTAGTGGCAAATTGTAGATTGTATTAATGGTATTAGTGAATTTTCTTTACAGCGTGTTCTTTGTGACACAAAAACTGGATGTTTCTATTTTTTTATTTTATTTGGTTGTAGGATTATTTTAAAACATTACTGACTTTGGGGGCAAGAAGCTTAAGAATCAAATCAGCAAATGCTATGTAGGATCCACAAAAAGGAAAATTCAGTGCTGCTGCCTTTAATAATTTTTATAGTATGGTCTTCAGTGATGACACATTATGCATGCATTCAACTTAGAAAAGGCAGCTATATCTTCGTTAGTATAGTGGCTTTAAAACAAAAAAGGCAGCTATAGTGCTTGCTTCCCATATCCTAGGAGGAATCACAAATAATGTAATAGCTTCTGCCAGAAGCTCTACTTAATGAGCACGTATTCCAGAATGAGCATGAGATGCTTATCCGCTGTTCCCTCTGTCAGTCCCAGTTCCCTCATGCTCCTCACAGTTTTACTCTCTTACCAAGCTTATGAGTGACCTCTGGAATTTTCAAGCATAGTTTTGACTGTGACATGTTCCTCTAGGAACTCAGTCTAGTAGGACAGAGACTTAAACATTAAACGGTACAAGATAAAAATCAGAAAGACCTGAAGAAATGAAGTGCTGTGGAAATTCAGAAAAGGAATAGAGGCCAGGTACTAGATACAGCAGCATGGAAAGACCACTGGATCACCAATAGTAAAAGACCTGAATTAAATTTGGAAAGCACTAAGTCAAATAATACTTAAAGTTTTCTGGCATCTCTAACATTCTTAGGAGATTAGGTAGCATTTAATCTAACCCATTTGGAAATGTACAGATTGTAGGAGGGAAAAATCATAGGACAAAGGGAACACGTGTAAAAGTGCAAGGCTGGAAATTGTAAGCGCCTTCTTTATAGCGGCTTACTTTGAATGCCTAACAATTTACATATCTTTTCACATTATTTTACTCTCCATATGTCCCTGTGAATTGTGTGATATATTTATTCATATTTTGCAAGTAGGAAAATTAAGTATGCATGAATACATGCTAATGCACATATATGTTGTACTTCAGGTCTTCTGGTTTCTTGTTGAATGTTCTCTGCGTTATACCTTACTATCTTCCCCAACTGTTTTTATTTTTTTATTTTCTGAGACAGAGTTTTGCTCTGTCACCCTGGGTAGAGTGCTGGGGCGTCCATCATAGCTTACTGCAACCTTAAACTCCTGGGCTCAAGTGATGCTCCCACCTCAGCTAGGACTATAGGTACCCACTACGATGCCCAGCTAATTTTTCTGTATTTAGTAGAGACAAGGTCTCAGTGTTGCTCAGGCTGGTCTTAAACTCCTGAGCTCAAGCAGTCCTCCCCCCTCGGTCTCCCGGAATGCTAGGATTATAGGCAAGAGCCATGGTGCCTGGCCCCTAACTGTTTTTAAAGGAATTTTAGACAGGTTCAGACAATACTCTCTCTGCTATAGTATCATAATGGTAGTAAAGGATAAACTGTCTCTTAGATTAAAAAAAAAAATAATTCATCCAAAATCTTCATCTAGTTCTTCATATTTAATAGAGAACATAATTAAGTAACCTTGGATATGTATCTGAGTCTGAAATACGAGGGCTGTCCGGAAAGTATTCAGCCATGTAACCGTTCTTGTTAAATTAACAATGGCTGGATGCTTTCTGGACAGCCGTTGTATGTTTAACAAAGGGCATCCATTTAATTAGTTAATTTTGAAATTTTAAAATACTTTTTCAATTGTTGTATCTCTTTAGTCCCCTTTAATTTGGACAATTCCTGAGTCTTTCTGTGTATTTCATGGCATTGATATTTTTTAAGAGCACAGGCCAGTTATTTTGTACAGTGCCCTTCAATTTGGATTTTTCTGATGTTTCTTCCATGATTAGTTTCATGTTCTTTACTTTTCGCAAGAATACCACAGAGGTGATGTCACGTTCTCAATACATCATGTCAGGGAGCACATGCTGTCAATATGCCCCATTACTGGCAACGTTAACGTTGATCATTTGGTTAAAGTGATGCCTACCAGATTTCTCCACTGTCAAATTACTATTTTACCTTTTGTAATTTAATCTTGTGGGAATATACTTTGAGAATATGTGAAAATAATAAGTTTCTCAAACATTCACTCACTACTCTTAACTGAATTATTATGATAATGTTTGCCAGATGGAAATTTTTCTAATTTTGTCACCCATTTTACATTTATTAACTATCTCTTACTATGAAGAACAGCTCCTTATAACATGCAAGTTTTTTTATATAAATGTATACTTATGTATTTTTACTTTATTCAGTAAGCTGTATTGCTCACATTGTCCTAGATTTGACCAGTGGAAGCCCCTTTAAGCTAGATCAACACCCTTTTAAAAAGTAGTATTAGGGCTGGGTGCACTGACTCAAGCCTGTAATCCCAGCACTTTGGGAGGCCTGTGCGGGTGGGTCGCTTGAGGCCAGGACTAGCCTGGGCAACGTAGCAAGACCTATCTCTACAAAAAAATTTAAAAATTAGCTGGGTGTAGTGATGCACACCTCTAATCTTAGCTACTTGAGGGGCTGAGACCGGAGGATCACTTGAGCCCAGGAATTCGAGGTTACAAAGCGAGCTATGATTATACCACTGGACTCCAGCTGGAGCGACAGAGTGAGACTGTCAAAAAAAAAAAAGGTAATATTTAGTTAAGCAGCAGCATTTATACTTAAAAACTTATATCTGAAAGGAACTCGTCCCACAGTTTTCAACAGCTGTAAGTATTGAAATGTAGTAAGGAATTAACTTTCAAGATGTTTTTAGTAAAAGATATTTTCTATAAGGAGTAGTACAGTAAAGTGGTTAAGAGCCTCTACTTTGGCATCAAACTGCTCTGCTGTTCATTAGCTTTGTCACCATGGGCAAATTAACATTGTTGCCTCACCTGAAATTGTGAAAGATGATAACCAAACCCCCCTCATGGGATTATATTAGGAGATATTATATTAAGAGATAGTGCATATAAAAGCATTAAACACACTGTGTAGCACATAGTAACCACATAGTTTTAGTTCTAGAACATGAGGTTTTTGCCAGATTTTTTTGTTTATGCAAAATCAGCACTCCAGAAGATAGGCATTTCTTTGTAAAATGTAGTTAATATAAATGATTAACTAATGTTCTCCTTTTACCAAAATTTATGGTATTGAAAATGCTAAAAGACTTAGCTATAAAATTTATTATTAGTAGTAATTGAGTTAATTTAATAAATTTGTATGCAGTCATCTTGGTTTACTTACATTTTTTTCTTTAGAGTGAACCAGAGGAAATGCCTCCAGAAGCAAAGATGAGGATGAAGAATATTGGAAGGTATCATAATTTTTCTTAAATATTGTTGAAAATTATAGGGATGGATTAAGAGCAAGAATAAATTGCACATGATATTTTAAGTCTTCAAGCTCTTCTTGTGTGTTTGGGCAGAATAGTTTTTAGCATTTTCTCTATATTAGGTAGCTAATTAGGATTTTGAAGATGAGTTAAGACATGGACCAGTCATTATGACAAAGGATAACAGTGTAATATCCTGGGAGCTATCAGTGATCTTATTGTCTCCCCTGGTAAGAAAATGAGTGTCTCTTAAACATAATAATAAGGCTGTTTCTTTTCAGATACATGTCACCGTTCTTTTAAATAAGAAATAGCTATGAGAAATGTTTCTGATTTTAAATTTAAAATTTTTTCTGGTATAAGAGAGAAATGGCTTTCAGTCACTTCATTTATGATATTGTTTCCACTGTTTGATATTGTATGTCCTTTTTTCCTTGGTAACTTGGATACCAAATACAAAATAAGACAAAAGTATTTTATTTTTAATTTTCCTCCATTATTGTCGTTGTCATGGAGATAACATTAATAGCAAGTTAACATGATGTTTGGTTTTCTGTCTTTATGTACATAAATGAATAACCTAGAGGCTGGTAAGAAAGTTCAACTTTACATTAGCCCATGCCATGTTCCCATTTCTTCCAAATACACGAAACTCCCAAGAACTTAGTGTTAAATCTGTACGTGAGCACTAGTCATCAGACTTTCAGTCTGTGATTCAAGTGGAAACAGTCCCAGTGGCTGCCTGCTTGCCTTCCTTTCATACTGAGACCCACAAGTAGGAAATACATCTAACAATGTTACCAGTTTAAACACCCAGTACACATATATTTAAACATATAAGCTGGATATGGTGACTCACACCTATAATCTCAGCACTTCGGGAGACAGAGGCAGGAGGACTGCTTGAGGCCAGGAGTTCAAGACCAGCCTGGCAACATAGTGAGACCCCCACAATATAAAAAAATTAGTAAGGCATGTGCCTGTAGTCCCAGCTACTCGGGAGGCTGAGGCAGGTGGAGTGCCTGAGCCAGATGTTTGAGGTTGCAGTGAGCTGTGATGGTACCACTGCACTCCAGCCTGGGTGACAGAATGAGACCCCATCTCTGAAGAATAAACAAAATTTTAAAACCCCTTAAATTTGAAATAGAAGTTCATCAAATGACACTGAACCTTTCTATGTATGATACATCTTTGTGTTTTTCTTCTATTTTTACAAATGCTGATGGCCAGCCAGCTACCAAGTTGATTTTGTGACCCTATTAATGGGTTACAGGCAACAGTTTTAAAAACTGTAGTGGTTGCTACCCTTAGCCGTTTATCAGAATTACTTTAAGTGTTTGTTAAAACTACAGTTTTATCTGCTCTTCCCCCAAACTCCCACCTCAGGCCTACTGAACATGAAGTTCTAGAAGTATGTCTGTGGAAAGAGTATTTTTAAAAAGCTCTGTAGGGGCTTCCAGTGTTCAGTGTGTGTTTATAATGGGTGCTAAACAAATGTGTATTGAATGAGTTAAAAACATAGCCCAAAAGGCTTTATATAACATTTTAAATACTTTTTTTTTCTCTTAACACAGGGATACACCAACATCAGCTGGACCAAACTCCTTCAATAAAGGAAAGCATGGGTTTTCTGATAACCAGAAGCTATGGGAACGAAATATAAAATCTCATCTTGGAAATGTCCATGACCAAGACAATTAAATGATGTGTTTTGAAATTGGGGTGTGGGGTGGGTGTAAAGTT